TACTCACATTTCGTACAACTTACTTACATTTTGTATAACCAACTATTATTTAGTACTACGGCTACATGTAGCCATAGACTAAATTTTTCTAAAAAGTATTATATTTCTAACCTCAACCTAACAGCGCAAAATTTTTACTTGAAAATTTTTGGTGATTTATCTTTTAATTTTCATGATTGGTAAAAAAGATTGTAAAAATAATATTACTGTATAAATTAGTATTTTTTGCCGATCATATAAATATAATTTTCGGATTCCCCTCGACATGCTACTAAAATTTATTATATTGGTTAAGCGAAAACGCACTAAAGATACTCTTATAAATTTTATTTGTAAATTTTTGCCAAAAAATTTTTTGATACCTACGAACTAAAAAAAAATAAATATAAAACAGTGTATTATATAGAATTAGACTCTTTATATAATTTAAAGTTCAAATAAGAAAAAAAATTGTAAATTACAATTTTAATTCGATGAGATAAGGAATTTCAATATTATAAATACATTCTAGCTACAGTTATGGATTAGAAAATCTTTTAGCCTATCCTTCGAAAGAATTACTCATTTAATGAAATCTCGTGAATGATTGATGTAAGAGAAGTGATTTCAATAAACCAATTGATAATGGAATAAATCATTATTTTGAACGTAAAATGATATATATAATTCTATTAAGATATCCATTATATATAATTCATGTACAAATTAAGTCTCGACCAAAAGATGTTATTACACAAGCATTCCATATCATTTAACTCTTTTACATTTTTCACGATTTGCATGTTTCTAAACAGTTTTCAAATACTTTTAATATCAGCCGAAATCCCAGAAAAGACATTTGACACCACCACAAAGTGGTCAAAAATCGACATTCATTGTTTCAATGTAACAACCCCAACACCAAATATGAAATTAGAACCGAATGATCGCGTATATATTAATTGGAAAATGTTAGAAGAATGTTATGAATTTATCAAAGGATCATATAATGAAACAAATAAAGATATAGACAATAGGTTTCGAACTTTTACATCAACCCCAACAACATCTTTAATGAATAAAATATCTAATAAAGATGAGATAATGAAATCTATGTTTGCATCGTTCAAACTTACGCTATATAACAACCCAAGACAAGTCGGCATTGATATGATGCCAAGAATAAAATCTGATTATTCATCAGTCATCACGAATAATACCACACCATCATCATATTTGTGGGTGGTTCCGTTTATTAAATCTGACAATATCAAAGATATAGAATTGTATTTTATCAGAGTTTCTTCTTTAAGTATTGTTAATGGGAAGCAAGGCGAATTTTCGGGAGTCATAGGGCCTTTTGGGATCAATTCCGAAGCTGCAAAGTTTCCGAAAACTTTGTTTGCTCCAATCCCTACTAAAACTGAAAACATTGATGGTGGTGAACCAACACACCCTGATGAAACGGAAATTTTTAATAAATCTACGCCATCAAAGGTGGCCAATCGACATACTTTAAAAAGCAGTAATGCAAATATCATAGATATATATAGTAATTTTTTGAATGATGCTATCATAGTTGGATTAATTGTGATTTTTATTGTCTATGAATGAAGTTAGAACGTATCAATTTTTAAGAAAAAAAATAAATTGTTTAAAATCATGTATAAATAAAATTTAGAAATTTCTTTTTTGGTTGAATTGATATATCTCCTATTCATTTTTTTTTTTTCTTCAAAACTTTAATATCGGAAAGCATTATAAATTATTATACATTTGATGACTTTCTAACCACACGGAATACTTCATATTCATCCACTGAAAACTTGTCACTAATCTTTCTAATTGGCTTTTTATAATTATTAGGTTTACAATAACATTCTTTCTCATTTTTAAAATCTTCTCCAAACATTATCAAATCTTCTGATCCAAAACAAGGTCCATAAGAATAAGAACAATAAATTCCATAGAGAGAATCATTTATATGACTAAAAATCGAATGTTTTAAACTACCATTTTTTAAAGAGAATATAAAACTATCGAGTGATACGTTATAACTAGGAATTTTAAGAAGTAAATACCAAAATCTAGAGTTATATCCTCCAAGAATCTCATTTGTACCGTTAACTTTTAAAACTATTACTGTATTATCTAAATTATTACATAAATTCCAAAAGTTTTTTGGCGAAAATCCATCTCTACTACCTCGAAGAATTAACTTAAATTCATATGGATTCTTACTCACATTGTAAGGAAATGGACATTGATCTATGTTAGAAGCAATTTCTGCTGCGTGTTCTTCGGTGATCAGAGTCGAGAATGGTGCCAATTTACGAAGGCGAGGAGGTAAAACATTTGAGGTTATCAATGCGTTTGGAATTTTTAGTCTTGTAATGATATCAGTCCATAGAATTGGATCAAGAATTCGTTGATAAGGTAGGATTTTTATTGAAACATCTTCATCCGGAATTTGAAAATATCGAACTAAAGGAAGACAACGTTGAAGTGTGATTTTCAAAGTTGAAAAATTTTCATCTGACCAATTCGAAAGATCTTGTGATAAATTATTATTTTGTGCAATTCCCCACTGAATAACTAAATCCCAAATTTGATCTTCTTCTAATTGTAAATCATCTTGTTCTAAAATAGCCACAAAAGCATTTTCTGGAAGCGATTTAAAAATTATTGATTTAAATAAAACATTTGGATCCTTAGAAACAAAGTCAATATAAAATGTCTGTAATATTTTGAGGTTACTATCATTAAAGCTAATCCGAATAATATTATCAAAGTTTGATTGTAACCAAGATGTACTATTTTCGACTAGATATGATTGAGTATGTACGACCAATTCTTCGAGACAAAATTCGTTGGCAGTGATTAAAACGTCAAAAATGGTCGATTCATTTATTCGTTCAAAGGATATAATTCCGGTATATATGTACCTAAATAATAAAAACAAAAAAAAGTTTGTATATGTTTCAGATCATATAATATTATGAAAAATTTGATGATATAAAATTTAACATACTTTATTAAAATTTCAAATACTTTAGCTGAAGTGTGAAATTTTGTGATCTCTTTGAAATTCCCATTATAAGGTATATCTTTTAATTCATTATATAAAAAAGGACATCGAAATTGTAAAACAATAGAATGTACTTTGAAGGATTGTTTTACCATTCCTTCACCTACGTGGATTATTGTATTATAATCATCGCCATTTTCTAAAAGTTGAGTAAAGTTGTGTGATAAGCTCTCCAAAAATTTTGTTGTCATTTTTTTGTGAAATATTATTTATTGATTTTTTTTTTTTTTTTTTTTTCTTTTACGATTTAAACGAAAAAGTAGCAGTCTAAATTTAATTACAATAATGATGATGTTTATTTGTACGTACATAAATATTCTCCATTATGTATCCGCAGCACGAAGATTCAACGCAAAATATTGTAGTACATTACCTGTGATATGTAGTACATTTATGATTACTAAAATTTAAAGGTAAAAAAAAATTTAAAATTCTGATCAGCCATGGATAAATAAATGATAAATAAATAAAATTCTTTAGTTAAACAAATACCTGATTAATCTGAGGATTTTCGACTATTACCATTTTTCAATATAATTCTAACTTTAATTTAATTTTAGCCGCCCCTGAACTTGAACTGCACATTTTCATATAAGAAGAACGATATATTTAATATGAAAACCTTCTTCTATTTACATACTTTCATACGTACGTACAGTACGTACGTAGTATCAGGTATGTTGTCAGTTATGTACACTTTATTTAATTTTTGGTATTGGTGTCACATAATTTGTCTTAATTTAGATTATAGATACACATGGCACAATTATTGGAAGATGAGATAGGATCAATGGGAGAGATGGTAATTAATTTTGTTATGCGAACAATTCACGTGTATAATACAGTAATAGTAATTTACTTTCCCGGAATCTTATTTATTAACCAATCATATTTTAGGTAAAAGAAGTGCCCAAATTCAAATGACTAACTGCTAAGTCCCAATTCCGAATCCCAATACCAAATATAGAAGTCCCAAAAGTCCAAAAAAACTATAGTATACGTACTGTACTAATAATAGGTACAATTAAATAAAATAACTAACCAATAAAATTTGTCTATTCTAGTTTATATAACTTCTACTCTTAAGAGTTTGGTATTTGGGATTTGGCCTTTTATTATTAAAAAATCACAAATAGTTTTAACCTATATGGTAATATTTAGTCTATAATTGTTAGACGAAACTGTTTTACGTAAATGGCGAAAGACTAAACCTAAACCTAATTTAAAAGACGAAATTGACGAAACCCTGACGAAAGACGAAACCCCGGACGAAAGACGAAATTCCTGACGAAAGACAAAATATCTGGCAAAATACGAAACTCCAGAGAAATAGAAGCCCCTGAAATTTTAATAAAAGACGAAGCTCTAATGGCTGAGCTACTGTTAGTAAACGAAAACTTTTTTTTTATGATATTGCGTTAATGTATAATGGCTTAGAAGTAAAATTGTAACTGTATTTCTACAAAATAATGTCCCGGGCATTATTTAGAGACCCGTAATTTAGAGAGAATTGATAATTTTAGCCGAATACGAAACATGTTTTTATTTTTATTTTTTATTTTTTTTTTAAAAAAAAACTTTGGTTAAATTAAATATTAGCTCTTATGTGCCTCCAAATAATTCCCCCCAGGCGAATTTTATATGTCACCTTATTTGCAATAATTTTATTTATTAACGTTAAAGGTTTTTTTTTCAAATGAATTTATGAACCATATTCAATCTCTCTACTGCTCTTTTCGGACCCATATCAAAAATATTAAAAAATTTTTAATATCAAATTTATTTATTTAATTTATTTAAAAATTTTAACACAATGCTGCTTGTAAGGTGTGTCATCACGTGACCAAACTACGTAGTTGTGACGCTCTCATCTGTCATGGTTTTGCACTTTAACATACTATATACTAAAGAGGTAAAATTATGTTGTATGGTGCCCCAAGTCACTTCTCATCAAATCATCCGCTCTGTTTAATTATTATAAAATTGGCATTTAAAATTGACTCTCTTTAATTATAAAAATATACATAAAAAATTGTCATTTAATATATATACCTAATTTTAATACTTTTAAATTTGGTGTATTTGATGAGAAGTGACGTGGAGCACCATAGTTAAAGTAACCGGGTACAGTAATAATTTACATTCACTAATTCATATATTTCCCTTTAATCTGAGTTTACCCGGTCACACATAAGTCATATAAATATAGATAACAATCTTAAAGGAATTTTAGATAGATTCCATTAAGTCAAATTTCCATAATATTATCTTTTGATCGAGAAAGATGGAAGATTGATTGTTAATCCAACCTTTTCACGTCCTCAAACATTTATTTTTGATTACTCAACACTTGTTAGCGTACGTAAGCTTCTTACTGCAATTTTTGTTGAGTGCTATGTTGTTTCGTGATTATTTCAATAGTAGTTTCTATGACGCCAAATTGTTCATTTTTTTTTTTTTTTATATTACACGTGTATTATTTAGAAGTCGGACGAGGACAAGGCAGGTTACTATAACAACATGATTTGAGAGATTATTAATGCTTTAACCAATAAATTCGAACGCAAGATATGGATATGATATATACCCGAAATGGTGCAAAGGGTTTATAGGCATCGAAAAAATAACAAACAATACAAATAAATTATCCATGTAACGATTTAATTATTAAATTTAGTGTAGAACTGTTTGATGGTACATAATCATGGATGCTTTAACATCGAAGGAGTATGTAATGGCTAATACGCATTATATTATAGGTTTCCATGGAACTTATAAAAAAACGAAAGTATAATCGCAATAGAAATAGTTTATTATAAATATTGTAATCAAATTTTTCAAGAAGTAACAAATTTAATTATTTTATTTGATGATTGATTTCTCTTAAAAATTATGTAAAAATATCGATATAATAATTTATAAAATTTTAAGGATTAAAAAATACATATTGGCGACAATATCGATATGCTAAAGATTCATTGTGCGGATTTAAATTTTGGCCAATCAGAATCAGCGCTATGGAAATAAAGATGGTTGGCACTTCCATATCAATATTTTATTCATCGAAATGATAATCATCTTGTTTAAAATTTTACATCAGATCCATGTTTTTCATTGTGATGAAGAATTCACTTATCGGCTAGATTATTTTCCACTAATTAAAAATTGATTTCCAATCCTTAGGTGCTTGAGAACACCCAAAGACTGGTATACGACTGCTATTAATAATTAAAAATTAAAGGAAATCCATTTAATAATTTTAAGACATTAGAGAGCAAATAGAGATTGGTAGGAAAATCGTGATAAGTAACGTGATTAAAGTCACATTCCTTCCGGAACACGAATGGTGGAACAAGTCGCATTAGGGTGATCATCAAACTAATCAAATCAAACCATAAGTAGCCATTATATATACTAATTACTATTTGGATATTTTTT